GGTATTAACCAAACAGGAAAGCTATGAGTCACCTGGACAGATTCCTAATGAATGAGGAGTGGTTTGCAACATGGCAGTGTTTGAAGCAGCGGGGTTTAAAAAGAAGCATTTCAAACCACTGTCCATTGTGATTGAAAAACAAGGTGCAGAACTGGGGCCTAAAACCATTTCGCTTTTTCAACGCTTAGCTAAGGCATCCGGGGTTCAAAGAAAAGGTAGCAGAAGAGTGGAGAACAATGGAGGTGCAAGGAAAGGGAAATTTTATCCTTAAAGAGAAACTAAAATCAACCAAGGCATTTCTAAAGAAGTTAAGCATAGAGTACTTTAGTGAGTTAGACAAAACAATAGAAGAATGTAGGGAAGTGATCTTTGACTTAGACGTTAAAGGTGAAGCTCACACATTGATTGAAGAGGAGTGGGAGTTGAAAAAGAAAAGTGAAGTGGATTAGTGGCAGAAGGTACAAATAAAAGGTTGCATGTTGAGACAAAAAGCAAGAACTCAGTGGCTTAAATTCAAGGATGCAAATTCAAAGTTTTTTCATCAATGCATCGAAGGTAAATGGTGTAGAAATGAAATAAACTACTTGGAGGTGGGAGACAAGCATTTGATGGATATTGTAGATTTGAAGGAAGGCATCGTGAAGTATGTCTAGATATTGTTCACAAAAGATGAGTGGGAAAGACCAAGATTGGAGGGAATTGGTTTTAAGAAGGTGACCCCTGAACAAAATGCAATGTTGATTTCATTATTCACAAAAAAGGAGATAAAGAAAGCAGTGTGGGACTGTGATAGCTCCAAAGCCCTAGGACCAGATGGTTTTAATTTTGGTTTTTTGAAAGCAATGTGGGAGACAATGAAGAATGATGTAATAAAATTTGTTGAAGATTTTCAAAAGAATGCGAAGTTAGTAAGAGGCTCAAATGCATCCTTCATTGTTCTAATACTGAAGAAGGAGAATTTAGTAAGAGTTGAGGATTATAGGCCAATTTCTTTAATTGGCTATATGTACAAAATTATTGCAAAATTACTGGCAAATAGGATGAAGAAGGTGATGAAGGGATTAATAAGTGAACATCAATCAGCATTCATACATGGGAGACAACTAATGGATAGTCTAGTTGTGGCCAACAAAACCATTGACAAGATCCAAAAGAAGAAGAAAAAGAGCCTCATTTCAAAATTGACTTCGAGAAGGCTTATGACAAGGCTTCTTGGGAATTTTTAGAATATATGATGATGCGTATGGGCTTCAACTGTGTATGGAGGAAGTGGATTATGGAGTATCTTCGCTTAAGCACAATTTCCATTTTATTGAATGGCAATGCGACAAAAGAATTCAGAGTGAGCAAGGGCCTGCGACAAGGTGACCCTCTTTTGCCCTTCTTGTTCCTTATTGTTGCTGAGGGACTTTTGAGGCTTCTAATCTTTGCTAAAACAAAAGAATTCTTCAAAATAGTGACAGGGGGTTTGAAGGGGCTAAGAATCTCCCATCTTCAATTTGCGAATGACACCATCATGTTTGGAGAAGCGTTGGAAAGAAATGTCAAGGCAATTAAAAGCATCTTGAGGATCTTTGAAATGGTTTCTAGACTCAAGATTAACTACAATAAGAGCAAGCTATAAAGAATGAACATGGAAGAGGAAGTTTTACAACATTGGGCTATCTTCCTAAACTGCAAAACTGGTAAACTACCCATGACATACTTGGGAATGTCAATTGGAGCAAGATTGAGGAGCAAGGATACATGGGTAGACTGGTAAACAAAAAAAGGAGAAAGTTGTTTAGTTGGAAAAACAAGTTCCTAGCTTTGGGGGGGCATCTTGTTCTCATAAATTTCATGTTGACTAGTCTTCCTGTCTTCCTTATGTTTACTTATCTTCTGCCTGCTTGAGTGATAAAAAAAAAATTGATATTATTTAGAGAACATTTTTGTGGGGAGGGTGTGAGGAGAGAAATAAGATTGCATGGATAAGGTGGGAAAAAGTTTGTAGGGATAGAAAACAAGGGGGGATGGGTACAAAGGACCTTAGGTTGTTTAATATAGCGTTGCTAGGGATATGGTGGGGGAGATTGGCAAATGAGAAAGTGGGTTTATGAAGAAGGGTGTTAAATGATAAATATGGAGGAGAGGGGGTAAGTTGGGGGGAGTGGACGAGAAGGGGGCAAAAAAAGGGGATCTAGATTGTGGAAGGACATTTGCAAAATCAATGAGATGATTGAGGGGAAACGGGATTGGGTTAAGTCTGGTTTTGAGATGGTTATAGGTGAGGGTGCAAAGGTCTCATTTTGGAGGGATGTGTGGACAAGGTCTTGTAGCTTAGATGGACTGTTTTCTCGGTTATTTTCTCTTTCCACAGATAGTCGAGGCACTGTGCAACAAATGAGAGAATGGATCGATGAAACATGGAGATAGAGGCTAAAATGGAGGAGAAGGCTATTAGTATGGGAGTAGGAACAAGAAGCACAACTCCAGGATATATAATACAAAATGTGCAACTTTGAAGAGATGTTGAAGACAGATGGTGGCGGAGATTTGAAAAAGTGGCAATTACATAGTAAAATCAGCACACAAAATACTAACAACAACGAAGGATGGGGACGAAGACAGAAATCTCAAGAGATGGTGGAACCCGATAATCTTGATCAAAATTTGTGCTTTTAATTGGCTATTAGTGCTTCGATGCACACCTTGCAAGGAAAACTTACTGAAAAGGAATATCATTAAGCAAGAGTTGGATGCTATGTGCAGTTTTTGTGAAGCAATACTAGAAAATAAGAACGACCTACTATTGTGGTGTGACTTCTCAGCAAAAATATGGAACAAAAATTTTGCATGGTGGGAAATCACACATGTCATGCCCAAAACTTGTAAGTAGGTTCTCCTCCAACATGGCTGGGTGGGTAGAAATCAAAAGCAGTGGCAAGTGGTGTGGTACGCCACAATATGGTCCTTATGGTTAGCTCAAAACTAAAAGATTTTCCAAGCAAAACACATGTCTATTGATGAGGTGTTCCAATGGTGCAGTACAATTCATATTGTTGGATCAAGAGCAAAATTGAACGCTGGTTATTTTCCTACTTGGAATAGTGAAGTAATTCGAGCATGTGTCAAATTGTAAAGTTTTCAAAATTAATGACCATGGAAGGGTAGAATATAAGTAGGAAACAATAGTGATGGTTGTAATATGTATGGGTTAGAGTACCCCAGGTACTCTTTAATAAAAGACTTTTCTTGGCTTTTCAAAAAAAACCAAGAACCATGAAATGGTCACAATAAACAATACTAAGGAGTTGCAGTTTATAATTAATGTTTTGAATGCTTTAATAACTTTATAGACATTAACATTTTGAAAAAATAATTATTAAATACTAATATAATTTTTTAAAATAGTAAATTTAAAAAGATATCCACAAAATAGTATAATAATTTAAAGAGCTAAGTGTTTATATACTTTAGCACTACTAATTTTGTAAATAGATTGGAGTACCCTTGCACTCCATTTTAATAATATAATTGACTTTGCTAGTAAAAAAAAAAAGGTATAATAATTCAAACAGCTTCGTTCAAACTCAAATGATCAATGGTATAAGCATACCCCTCGTACCCTCGTCAAAGACCCGTGGCAGAGCCAAAGGTGAGCAACGGGTATGAGCACCAGACTTGGGTTGGGTGTATGAAAAGTGCATATATATTGGTATACGAGCATCGGATCAAGTAGTTAGTATAGTGGTTTGTACTCTTGTTTACCTAATGAATGAAAAAACGAAAAACATGAAGCCTACTAAGCTGGAAGATGCCTAGATTGGAAAGCAACAAAATGTGACATCCAATGAAAAACCCCAATGGGATTTTAAGGGTATAGGTTAAAAATATATTGTTGTTATATATATATATATATATAAATTTTGATTTTAATTTTAATATTAGTGTTAAATGAAAATTTTTAATTAAAAACTTTTAGTTTTTAATAGAAATTTAGAACAAAAGAGTGTATTTATTACACTTAGGTTGGAAAAACCCTTAAAAGAATAAGCAAGGGATAATTTTTCTCAAAGAAAGTTGATTATGACTATCCCTTACTCATGCTCTAATTTTTTTCTAGAATGATTCAAAAATAATTTTTTTTACAACTATTTTACACAATCTTACATGTCATGTCATTGAAGAATAAAAGAATAATAACAATTGACTCTTTTTATATTTTTGAAGTAGTGATGTTGAATGTTTCCATTTATTTATTGATATGTGAAAACTATATAAAAAATTATGCAAAAAAATTGTTCTCATATTATCACTGAATTTTGAAAAAAAGAAACTAATAATCTTATATTGTACAAAGGGAAGCGAAACGCTAGTCATCGCTCCACTCCTCCTACTTGTTCCCATATATTTCTTCCTCCCTTTTTTCTTTTGATTCATTGTCTCTCCTCTTTTCATGATTTTGATTTTTTCTTTTTTCTTTTTCAGTTTTTTTTTTTTTTTCTAAAGGGTTATTGTCTCTCCTTAAGGTTTATTTATGTGGGAGTTCACCCTTTTGGGTTTAGTCTGTGTGGGTTTTATTTTTATTTTATATCCTTCCCAGTGAAGTTTGAAGCAGGAAATTAAGGTGGTTGGTAGGCGCTATGTTGCAATGGAATGTTTTTAGCAATGGACCATTTCAACAATTATTTTTTCATCTTTTGTTTCTGGTGGATTATGTTGACTTAAGGTTTATTGTTTGATAAAAAAATTGAGTTTGACTATAATATTCATATAACAATTATATTGCCCTATTATCATATGGTTAACCAAGTGTTTTACACTTTTAAAGCTACTTATGTAATGACTCTAGTGTGTTATACCATATATATTGGTTTGTAACCTTAGTGATTTCCTAGTATTTATGAATGAATTTAATTTTACTAAAAAGAAATTTCTTACAACTTTATTTTAATTACCATTTTTCCTACTTTTGCATTTAAAATTTATATATACATAGCATAGGGTTTCACTTTCATTCCTCTAACGCTAAACTTGCTGCTCCATTGTTCTATAATATTCCTCCTCCCATATTTTCATTTCATTCGCTTTCATCCCAACTTGTTACCTCCGTTGTCTTTGCCCAATCCTTGTTTACGTAGAACAGCGAAAAAATTGCAAAAAAAAGACAATGTCGCTCTCTGTTCTTGAAAATGCAAAGAAGTTATGGGCCACATGGAACATTAGAGGATTCGTCATTGTAAGCCTCTCAGTGCAGGTCTTCTTAATTCTGTTTGCGCCATTTAGAAAATGGCGTGGGAGATGGGGGAAATGTGTGCACTGGTTGATCTGGTCGGCATACTTGCTAGCTGATTGGGTTGCCGAATTTTCAATTGGATTAATCGTAAGCAAGCAAATCGAAAGCCCTGACGAAAGTAGTGATATCTACGTCTTCTGGGCACCCTTTCTCCTGTTGCATCTTGGCTGTCCGGAGGCTATCACTTCCTTTGCTCTCGAAGACAACGAGTTTTGGGTTAGGCACTTGCTTGCACTCGCATTACAGGTTGGTTCTACTGTCTATGTCTTTGTTAGGTCCCTTCCAGAGAACAAGCTTTGGCTCCCAACCATATTAGTGTCAGTGGCAGAAATAATCAAATATGCTGAACGTAACCGTGCATTTTATCTTGCACGCTTTGACCATTTTGGAGATGATTGGGTGCCTAGCGAGTGCGAAGATGAACTTCCAGTTCCAGTAGAATTTCAAAAGATGGACAAGGACACTTTCGGAGACCAATCGAAGTCAATTTTATGGACTGCGGTTCATCACTTTGGCACTATCAAGATGATGCTTGTAGGCCTTCTTTTACCTCGAGATCATTCCACTGAGATCAGAGAAGCATTTCTCCAAGAAACTGATCCATCGAAGGTGTTGCAAATATTCGAAATTGAACTAAGCCTCTTGTATGAGGTTCTCCATACGAAGTTGCCTGTGGTTGGTTGCAGGATTGGATACATTTTCAGGTCCATTAATCTGTGCTGCATCTTGGGAGCCTTGTTGTCATTCTTACTATTTAAGAAGTATTATAAGTTGGAGCAGTTTGACGTCTGGCTAACCTATGGCTTGTTAATCGGGGCGTTGGTGTTGGATTTCATGTCGATCATATTGCTCATTTTCTCTGATTGGATTTTGGTTGCTCACATGCAAAGTACAAAACCGAGATGGCTCAAGGAGTGCAGGTGGTCTAGAGCAGTTTCCCAGTTGAATTTTATTTCTCATTATTTAAATGATTATCTAGTTTTGTTGAAGGATTTCACTGATCTTCTTCGGATAAGGCATTTGTTGGAACGCATAAAAGGATTCCTATGTCTATCTTCCAAAAATATCAACCAGGACCGAGCTTATTGGCCCCTCATTTAACGGGAATTAACACATTTGAATGTTAGAATGTTAGAGGAGTCTTCCAACGTCCAGGAGGCAAGGGATGTCTGGTTATACAGTCGTAAATTAGTTCTTGATAGCTTTGTCGTCAATTATGATCTGACCGATATCAAAGAGTTATATTACACGAAAAGTGTTCTAACGTGGCATATAGCCACTGAACTATGCTTCCTAGGAGTGGACCAAACGTCTTCCTCTGGGATTGAAGAAGAAGGAGGACAAGGGCCTCTGTCTGGGATAGAGAGCGAGAACCACAAGGAGTTGTGCAAGCTGCTTTCAGATTATATGTTTAACCTTTTGGTGATGCAGCCAACTATGATGGCAGGTGTGTCAGCGACTTGGAAAATAGTGTTTGAAAAAACATTGACAGAGGCCAGGTTATTGTTAGATAGTAGTTTAATCTCAAATGAAAAGGAGGCTAGAAAAAAAATCCAAGAATTGATCCCATGCCCTGGGAAGCAAGAGAGCGATCTAAATAATTCGGTGTTAATTACTGCTGCTAAGCTTGCTAGAGAGCTAAAGAAGTCCAACAGTATTCCATGGGAGTCAATGAGCAAAGTTTGGGTACAATTAATGTGCATTGCCGCTATGAGTTGCAAGCCAACTGTTCATGCTCAGCAACCTAGTAAGGGTGGAGAACTTCTCACATTCGTTTGGCTGTTAATGAGTCATTTGGGATTCGGGACTTACTTTTCAAGCCGTTACTAAGATCAGTAACTTTGAAACCTTTCAACAAAGTTTGATATTTCTGTATATGTTTTGTCTTTCTCTGTTATGTTTCTTTGAATATGTGATGAGTACTCTGTGGCTCATGCATGGTCTTATGTTATCATTGTATGTGTCACGCCTCAAAACCCGAATTCGAGGCGCGACAGACGCCGTGCACTCGTGAGAAGATCCCACAAATGCACAAGGTTCTGAACTTATCCAATTCACATCTGATACCACCAAATCTGAAGATAATATTTTAAAATTTGCTCTTATATCATAAATCTCCAAATAACGTTTAGTTTACAAGATCATGATCTATATCAATCTCGAAATGGCTAACCTTCTAACTCGTCACTTCCCGTGGTTTCCCCGTCCTTGGTTTCGCTTCCTGAAATGGTGGATAAGGAAAAACTATGAGATAAACTCAATAAGTAAATATGGAGTGCCCTTATTAAACTTATAGCATGCCAACAAGTGCAATCATGAAAAACGGATACAATACGGGAACGAAATAGACGTCTCCTCTATAGGTCATGGCTAGTGTTATAACAACCCACTGGCAGGCACCAGAAATTTGTTGGTGTATAACCCCCACTAGCAGGGTTGAACGAACCGGTTCTATCACTAATATGTCGACATGTGCTAGCGTTTAACCCCCACTACCAGGATCATTAATAACATAACCACATCGGAGACAAAACAGACAGAAGTTAACAGAAAAATCATAATTCACCAATCACTTTCAAATCATCAGGACAATCAATTAAATTTCAAGTAGGCATGCTCAATGTAATGAAAAGCATAAAAATTTCACTTCAAATCATTCATACTTACTTTTGCATAAAACGAGTTTAGTCCCGCCACCACTTCAAAAACAAGTCAAAATATGCTTTTAAAAACTGTACAGGCATTACCATAAATTTACTTACCTCACTTCACGTAATATAGAAATTCACTCGCATAAACTGAGTAAACCGAAGATTCGATCTCAGTTCTAAACTGACAAAATAATTAGGAACCTAATCAAAATACCCTAAAATTAATTCCGCACTACCACAAATTCAAAGTGAAACTTCATTAGGATCATTCATAATCACAATGCTATTTCTATCAATCTCCACATTTGTTCTTATATTACAAACTAAACATTTAAATCCTCGTTAATTGTTAACCTCGTTGTGTGAACAGTGTCATAAACAGTTCGGTGAACAGTAACTGGTACGCGTGAACAGTAACTCCAACTTCCAAAAATTGCCCAAACCACTAGCTAATTCACGGGATTTTCTCTCCAAAAATCACAGCAACCAACTCAAGCAATTTACACATGAATTAAACTTAATTATGCTCTAATTACTACCAAAATTCATCCCCAATTTTCATCGAATTCGGACAGCACATGGGGCAGGAATTACATGGATAATTCAACAACTAATGGATAATTTAGGGCTTAAAAAAGTGGCCATCGTACCAGAATTTGCAAGCAAGGAACCGGAGCTGCAGGGAGAGGAAGCCGGCGGCAGTGCAGGGGGAAGCTCACGGAAACTACCCAAAAATTGAAGGAACCAAGAGGGTTTAGAGTAAACCCAAGTGAAATCAAGGCTAAAGAGATGGAGTACATAGCTGTGGCTTACCGGAATTTGAAGAATTTCGCCCCCACAACAAGAGCAGCCGGCGGACAGAGCAAAGCAGATCCGGATTTTCCAGCAGGGGGGGAGAATTTCTGGGTTCCAATCTTGTTCTTGAACAAGAAAAGAAGGCCAAAACCAAGCTTCCTCACCGGTTTCTCAAAGAAGGCTGTCGGGTTCCCTTTTTGTTTCTTTCGGGTGGCTGCAGCGGAAAGAAAGAAGAAGGAGAGCAGAATCGGGCTGAGAAGAAAGAGGAAAAAAGGAGAAAAGAAATAAGCCATCCTTATCCAAATTTTGCCTCTTTAAGTCCCTCAACTTTGGATATTTTGGCTATTAAGTCACAGAATAATATTTTTCCACACTTCAGTCCTTAACTTAATGCTAAAATATAACAAAATTTTGGGGTATTACTGTATGATTTCAAGTTCAATTTGTTAGTGTGCACTATGAGTTAATTATTTGTGTTTGTGAATAATCTAGTTTATGGATGTGATTATAGATAAAAT